TATAACTTAAAAATAATGAGTCAGGCTATTTAAGGTTTTTGTGTAATAGTAGGATTGTCTACAACATAGACGGATTTTGTGGGAGGGGGGCTGCAGGGGGGTGCTACCCACCCCAATATTAGCTATAAGCCCCCCCAAACAAAATGTCCACCCCTCCAAAAAAAATTTAAACACCCCCCCCCCCCCAATATTCAGCATAATAAAAAATAATTAAATAGTCCACTCCAATGTGCAGAGTGTTGATGATACAAAATAAACGTAGGAGTACACTCAAATAGAAAAAGAATACTCTGAAACTAATCGCTCCTCGCTTGCATTCACTGATTTATTGGAGCAATTGTAAAGTTTTGAAACTCTATTATCTCCCCTGAATAGAGTTTTCAGTGCCTTGTCATGCAAATAGCTTGCTTGCAAGGAACGTTTGGAATTTTTACTAACATTATTTTTAGTTTTTAATTCTTTTAGGAAATAGACTTGCCTAGATTTAATCTTTACGCCCCAAATATTATTTACATCGGAGTTGCATCATAAATTGTACTTGGATTCAAACGACACAATGTCAATGACTTTATAAAAGTAAAAGCATATTGTGTATTGGCCTATTTGGTTTACACTTTTACAGGTTCATTTAACTTTAACTCTCTCAAGTCTCAACAGACAATTGGACATGCCAAATCCATTGATATGACAATTTCAAAAAACGTTTTTTCGAAGCTAGAAATCATGATTTTTTTCAAATTTTTCCAGGGATACTTTGTTTTCTGTTCTCTAGACTCCCCCTCGCGGCTCTAGCGCTCCACCCCTAGAATATAGACCTTACTGGGGTTTGGTGACACTTTGTGTTGCTTCAGTCACCTGCTCACGGCTCACCCCCTAAAATTTCTGGCACTACCCCAGTAAAAATATGAAAATCCATCTATGGTCTACAAATTAACTTGGACTGTAGAATAATCCCAATTTTTATTTTGTAGCCAATTACTCAACACAGAAAATTACAAATTGGCACAGCAAGGCATGTTCAAGGGAAAACCTGACATTGTGTACACAGACCCTGAGAGATACCGTACAGCAAGAACTGGTTTAATTTATGGGCTTCAGTTACTTCACATTGTAAGTCATTGTGCACAACTTTATAATAGTGTGTGTTAATATTCCTCTGCCATTACAATATAGTGATGTGACTGTGTTCTTATTCGACTGTGTTAACCCATTGAGTTGCATTGTGCCCTACTTTATTATTTTACTTTGTTTAACACCAGACTATTTTACTCGTTAATGGGTATAACTGTCCTAACCGCCCATGTGTCTAGTTAACCCATCGAGTTGCATCGTGCCCTGATGCACCCTATTTTAATGATTATGCTACTCTGTCTAACGCAAGATTATTTCACTATGTCTAATAGACTAATACCAGATTGATTACAGTGATTACAGTTTTTGAAGAAAGAATTGTTTAGTATCCGTACATGGATTAAACCATTAACCTATATTAAGATACTTAATCTATATAAAACCTTAATCTATATGTGTATTATAGAATTAGAACTTAACTATATATGTGTATTTTAATCTGTATAGAAATTTATTCTATGTTTGATCTTTTTGTAGAGTTACAAAACCGTTGTATCATGGCAGCTTTGGCATATATCCTTGAGGAGAAGGAGCATACCTCAGGAGAACATTCCTTTAATTAAAGTTGTTCTTGTAAGTGAATTTTGTATATTTTATAACATCTAGATAGAATGTTTGTGATGTTACTCTGAGTGTGAATCCACTCCGGGCAAGCTGAAAAGTTAGCTTGGCCACGGTGGGAATTGAACCTGCGATCTTTGGGATACTAGTCCAATGCTCTGCCAAATAAGCTACATGGTCAAGTCGGTTCGAGTTGATGATATTTCGGAACTGAGTCTAGTTCCTTCTATATCAGTGTATTCTATATGTCTGATTATCAGAAATATCATCAACTCGAACCGACTTGGCACATAGCTCAGTTGGCAGAGCATTGGACTAGTATCCCAAAGGTCTCGGGTTCGATTTCCACCGTCGATTCCCATCACAAACATCATACTCACTGAGTCCATAACGCCAACACACACAAAAAATAATCTAGATAGAAATTATGAAGTGATGTATATTTTTGTAGTGTAACTACAGGAGAACAAGTACAATATTTAGACAAAAGTGTAAGTTGTGCATGAAATGCTTATTTCACTCAGTTATATATTTCCTTGTTGCAGGATGATTCTGAAATTGCTCCCAAAATATCAGGATGCTCAACCCCTTGTCTATTGGCCACTGGACCTCTGGAAGTGATAAGTTCGATTTCATTGATTGCAGAGGGAATGGTTGTAAAAAATTCAGATACGATCCATGCAATATTACCAACGCAGTGGCACGTTTGCTTGCAGGGTACTACGTTTTAACATGCAGTACCCAAAAGGGGCCAACAGGTCATAGTAAGAACATTTACATGTTTTAGTAATTTAGAACATGTTCTTTTGGCCAATAATTGCCATACCGGTACTTTACCAATTGACGTGGAGAACTTCCTAAGCTAAAGGATTTTATGAACACATTAAATGGAACAATTTATGCTAATGAATTTTCAATTTATGATAAATTTATGCAGGATATATTGTCCCGAGGAGAGTTATGACCCTCACAATCATGGGCTATTTCTGTGAATGTTTCTATATAGTATAACTCTAAACTATATAAATTATAGCTTACAAGCTTACAATTATATATATAGCTTACAAGCTTACAATTGTGTGAGATAACGATTGTTTCTTCTATATATGAAGAGCTTTTTACTTTCACAATATAATATGATGACCGCATGCCATCAAACTCTGCTCCACTTCCACTTTACTGTTTTGCAATTGTCGCACACTGGAACTCAATTATCTCGTAGATTATTTTAATTATATATTATATATAAGACTTATGCATTCCTTAAGAAAAATACATGATTTTTATCAAAGAACTGAAATTGTTTTAATATTTACTAATTTGACTTTGAGTCAAATATTGATTTTAACCTATTTGATTTTAACCTATTTGATTTTAACCTATTTTTTTAGGTTAGATCAACCGCATGTAACCTATTTTAAAGGGCTGGTTTAGACTCATGGCCTTTACCATTATTTATGGGTTATTTCAACCATAAAGAATAGGTTATATTTGTATTAACCAAAACTTATAGGTTAAATTGACCAAATATTATTGGTTAAAATGACCAAATATGTATAGGTAAAAACAACCTATATTTATTTGGCCAAAACAACCTATATTTCTGAGTAGATTTAACTGTTTAAATTTAGGTTGTTTTAACCTAAAAATAAATGTTATAATAACATATTTTAAATAGGTACAATTAACTATATTACAGGTTAAAATAACCCACTAGAAATAGTTTGTTTTAACCTATTTAGTTTTAGTTATTTCTACCTATTTAAATAACCTATTTTAAACCGGTTGTCCTAGACCAACTGGAATAACCTATTTTTTTGGTTATTTTAACCTATCAGTTTTTACAGTGTAGGCTAGGCCCTTCTGCAAATGTCAAGTACATTTTGAATCTCTTTTTTCGTTTCAGTGGGAATTCCAGCGGATGGGAGGAAACAACTGATGATATAGATACTGGTCATCAGGTTTGAGATGCCATACAGGTTTCACCAACCAAAAAAAAAAATATGACCCAACTACATCATTTGTTTCCAAATGCCTGTGCATGTCAATTTTTTCCCTTCAATCAATTTAGCTGTATACGTTTCCCTTTTTCTTATTGTAAGCGTATAGGAAATTGATGATGCGCACAAATTATCGCAACATATATATATATTTTTATATATATACATATATATATATATATACATATAATATATATGTATCTGTAGAAGCTCAACTGCTGAAGCAACGCCTACAACCGAAAGTCGATCGCAAAACGAGAAACATAAACGCACAAGAAGAATTACTGGTTCAACCCGCCGTATAGTAAAAATATATATATATATATATATATATATATATATATATATACATATATATATATATATACATATAATATATATGTATCTGTAGAAGCTCAACTGCTGAAGCAACGCCTACAACCGAAAGTCGATCGCAAAACGAGAAACATAAACGCACAAGAAGAATTACTGGTTCAACCCGCCGTATAGTAAAAACGTACGAACCAATGTCGCCCGAGATTTCTTGAAATTAATCGACAAACATTTTCCCAAAACATCACCCCTTCATAAGATCTTCAACCGAAACACGATCAAAGTTAGCTATAGCTGTATGAATAATGTAAAGAGCGTCATATCGAGACATAACAAACGCGTATTGAGAGAATCTAAATCCGAAGAATCTACCAACGATAACAACATTGAAAAACTTTGTAACTGCAGAAATGTAAACGAATGCCCGCTTAACAACATGTGCTTGACGAAAGATTTAGTTTATCAAGCCGAGGTAAAAACGAAAGACAACAACAATATAAAAACCTACATTGGTATGACAGCGACAACATTTAAGGAGAGATACAGAAATCACAAGAAATCATTCAATGACATTAAATACGAGAATGAAACTGAACTTTCTAAACATGTCTGGAAACTAAAACTAAATAGAAAACAATTTAATATCAAGTGGTCCATCTTATCCCGAGCAAGTTCAATCAAAGCCGGTGGAAATAGTTGCAATTTATGTTTAGAAGAGAAATTGCAAATACTCCGTAGTTATAATTCACGGTCTAATTTAAATAAACGTAGCGAAATTTTCATGAAATGCGTGCATGCGCATTCCACGCGGGACGATTCAAACGAACACGCGTCAGCAAACATTGCGAGTAGTAAAACGCAACAACTTAACCGTATTAATATGTTGCCTGATGATTGCTTGTTGCATGAAACTTAAAGTAGCAACTTATTCAATTGAAAAATTGTATTAAAATATTAAATTATTATATATATATATATATATATCTGAGACACTACATGGAAGTGACCCACTTAAAAAACTAGCAAGCATGCCGTTATCATCTTGGTTAAAAATGCTAGCACAAATATTTAAACTCAATTGGTCCTGTAAATTGTCCCACAATAATTCTCTTTCTATCGATACGCTTTGGCAGTCCATTATAAAATGTTTAAGGGTTCCCAATATTGATCCATGACATATCCTACAGATCTGTTCACCCTGATCTTCCACAACATCACTAAGTTTTGACGGAATATTTCCACATAGAAGATTTACCAGTGTTGCTATAGGTTTGAGGTACATTGGGTTCCGCTTCGCTGTGTTCCACAATTCTAGAGGCTGCAGTTCAGTATGAACGTCCCGAAAATATCCAAGTTCTGGTTTGATATGCAAGCCCTGTCTCCAACTCTGTAATTGAAATTGACGAATACTTGCTTTAACCAATGATTTCCATGAAGATTTAGTTGGGACTTGACCTGTTTGTATGTAGGTGGTGAGATAATCCCCAAGTCCATATTTATTTAAAATTCTAACGATGTTTGGAATAAATCCCATTTTCTTCTTAGTCACACCATTGAAAAAAGATGATATTCTAACAACAAATATAATTTTGTCCACATTCGTTGGTTTCAATGATAATAATTTATGAAGAAACATCAGTTGTACTTTATCGATATGTCCCTCAATTGTCCATAGTCCCAAACTTCCAAGTGCGGCTTCTGATCGCGTTGATGGTGCAAGACCTTGAGCTTGCTTTGCTGCAAAACGATTCACTCGTTCAAGTATGTCATACTCAGTTTTTGTGATGTTACTCCACCACTCACCTCCAAATAACATTGTCGGCAAACCAACTGTTGTCCATATGTTAATTCCATAAATTGGATTTAAACCGGCAGGTTAAACCTGCACTCATCAAACTTGACACTACTGCCTTGCCTTTCCGTGCCATCTCCAGTGTACGCTCTGTACTCGAAAAATTTCCACTTAGACGAATGCCAGCGTGTTCAGATGACAACTTCTCCTTAATCTGTTTTCCATAAAGTGTCCAGCATCTTTGTTGAACATTACGTCTATGTGTATTTACATGTTCTCCAAATGTGATAATATTCGTCTTTGTTACATTATAGTCGAATCTCCATTTTTTGCTGTACGCTTCCATAGTTGATATCATTTTTTGTAGACCATTGACACTTAGGGATAACAATGCGACATTGTCAGCTATTAGAACATTTTTCACGGAAATTAATGAGTCAATATTAATTCCAACGTTCATTGTACTTAACTCTGTATTTATATCATTGTTAAAGCATAAGAACAACCATGGCGATATAACTCCACCTTGCCGAATACCTTGGCGAATGAGAAATGGTTCTGAGAGCAAATCATTATGAGCTACACGACACGACAAGACAGATTTGAATACCATTTCTTTAATAATCTCCATGACTTGCCCTGTATTCCAAGATTGAACAGTTTGAAAAAGAGACCATCCATCCAAACACAATCGAAAGCTTTTGAAATATCCAAAAAACATGCATAAACTTTGCTTTCTCTCTCAACTGCATGGTGAATCACTTCTTGCAATACAAAACTGGCCTGAACACAGCCTTTTCCTTTTTGATATGCAAATTACATCTTATCTGGAACTCCATTTTTAATTAATATTGGCATCATTCGATCAAGGATAAGTCGTTCTAATATTTTGCCAATAACATTAAGAAGGATGATACCTCTGTGATTATCTTTGTCTAGTTTATTCTTCTTTTTCCCTTTAAATAGGGAATAGATAACACCAATTTCGGCAGATTTAGGAATAGCTTCCAATGCTCTAATTGCATTGAAAACGTCAGTCAGGACAGCAAAGAACTGCTTTCCAGCATACTTGACGTGTTCGTATACAAGTTCATCCATTCCACCAACTTTGTTATTTGGCAACTTTAAACAAAGGTTGCTTACTTCCTCTGTAGTAAACGGTGTTTCTAATACGTCATTGGTAACATTAGCACTAAGATCCACATACTATTTCAGCTGTTGTTCCACAAAAACTTTAAATTGTTCGTCATATACAGGGGACTCTTTAGGCGTATATAGTTGTTCATAATGAGCTTTCCACACGGATAGAAGTTCCTCTTTCTCAGTAATTAATCTGCCATCAATTTTTAATTCATTACATACCCCTGAATATGATTTCTGTTTAGCTGAAATTTCTTTCTGGAAGCGTGAACGATCTTTATCATAAAATTCATCCATGTTGGAGAATTCATTTCTTTCGTGTTCAAAACATTTTCTACGTAAAAGTTTTCGAAATTCACATTTTGCTGCCTTATATTCTCGAAATGATGCGTTATCAGAATTTCTCGGTCGCCCTTCTGCTATGCATTTCCTTCGACATTCCCTTGACTTTGTATGCGCATTTTTGAGATCATTATTCCAATAAGGACGTAGAATGGGGCGATTTCTCTTGCAGGGCAGAATCTCTTTAGCAGAAGATGATAAGATCTGTGTAATTCCAGATAAAACGTATTCAATATCCTGTTCACCAGCCATCGTATAGGAGTTGAAACATGAAAGTTTTCTACTCACAAGTTTTTGATACATTTTCAAGACGAATGGATTCTGGATCTTTTTCCACGAGACACGACGTTTCGTATCATTGGGAAGAGGCTTTATCCATTTGACAGGAAATGTCAAGCAGCAACATATAGGAAGATGGAAGGATAAGTTATCACTGTGGTCTTCGTCCACATAGCAGTAACGAACATGATGCAATTCATCCACTTTCATAAATATATGGTCAGTTGTGCTTAACTGCTCACCTTGTTGAGCAAAATAGGTTTCCACTGGTCCAGTGGTAAATGTTTGTGAGTTGACAGATCTCAAATTCCAAAATTTGAACTTATCGATAAGGGCTAGTCCTTGTCGATTTGTAGTATCAAAACTTCGAGGCCCACCATATTTTCCAATATGACCATTAAAATCTCCTGCCAGAACAATAATTCCCTTTTCATACAAGTTGTCAACTACATCGTCAAGGACTTCGAGACACTCGATATTTTGTGATTGAAGTGTTAGAAGATGGTAGGTAAACACTCAAAATAAACATGCATACAGTAGGTGATAACCTAGCCTGCGTAGCAGGCGGTAGAAGCTAGAAATACCGCCTGCCCAAAAACTACACATTCTGAGTTCCGCCCACCGCATGGTCCCGCCCATCTTACAGTAATGTATTTATTTTAATTATTTGTCAAACTCACGTATTTACACCAGTGCAAATATACGGCTTTGACGTTTCATATCTTCGGTTCATTCAATGCTATGAAGACAAAAATACCACGTTCGATTCAGTGTAACAATATGTCCTCATTCATAGCGATAGTTTTAGTCGATGTCAACATTATAGCGATTTATGAGCTTTGAAAGTCAAGCGAGTTCGTGTATTATCAAATTACGCAATTGTCTGAACAAAAATATAGACTAGCCATACCTTTCGCCGAACACAACTTCGGCCCCTTCAGACGTAACTTTGTAATAGGCTTGTTCCAATCGCTATCAAAAACACGACTTAGAGTGTCATTTACGAGCCTGTATCTTCAAATCTGCACTTTTATCACGGTATCACATCTTCAAGCAACAAATGTTGGATTGATATTCGTTGTTCATTCTTCAAGACGAAGCGATTTCCGATTCCAGATAAAGATTAAAGAATTCAACGCTTAATTCTCAATTAATACATTCGTTATTTTTTGGTTAGTGTATGCCATCACTCGATATATCGGTATCAATTACGAAAATAACAATAGTTTATATTATAAATACGACAGTAACTTCTAAAATTAGCACTAATTATTCTAATTCTGTACTCCTGTCAATCAAAAATTCAAAATCAACATTCTGACCAATCAGATACTGCCTGCTACGCAGGCTACCAATCAGAATGCTCCGGCACCCAGCTGCCGGGGAGAACTCAGAATGTGTAGTTTTTGGGCAGGCGGTATTTCAAGCTTCCCATTCTCTCGTGCCCGCGAATACCGCCTGCTATGCAGGCTAGTGATAACCGTACCTGCGCAACAATAATTCTATCATTTCCCAGTTCCTCTAAGATATTAATTCTTGCATTTAACTCTTTTCGCCACAAAACTGCAACTCCACCTTTGCCTCTTCGCCATACTGAATCCATATTCAATTCTGTGCTCGACCTTCCCCAACCAGCAAAGTCTTTGTTGAATGAAGATAAAAAATTTAAGGAATCCGGATATAGCCAGTGTTCTTGTATTACACAAATATCTGATTTTTTCAAACATTTTTCCAGAAAATGAACATTTGTCATCAGACCAGAACAGCTCCATGTGCATAGCCGTAATGACCATGTAGTATGTTTGTCATCTCCAGCCATTATACAAACGTTGAATAGGGGTAATCCTGGATCTCTTTCTCAGATACCTTTTGATTGATACCACTTAAGAAGAACGCACGAGTGTTATTTCTCTTTCGTTGAACACCAATAAATCTCTCTTCTTGAGGCTCAGTTTCCTCTTGCGAGAAGTTCTGTAAGGGAGCACTAACAATAGTTTTGTTTACAGAAACATTTTTCTTAGGACTTTTTGTCGCAGCCAATTTACTGGCATAAGTTGCTGATTTCATTAATTGGGACTGCTGACTTGAGATAGCATCTGCATTAACAGTTAGGTCTTCATTTTGCATTGTGGGGGGGCAATAACTCTGTGTCTGCCGTGTTCGTTTGTGCTAACTCGCTACTTGCAATTTCATTTTGATGACCACTAACAAGGTCTTCATTTTCCATTGTGGAAGGCAATAGCTCTGTGTCTGCCGTGTTTGTTTGTCCTAACTTGTTACTTACAAGTTCATTCTGATCACCATCCGGCAGATTTCGTTCACATTTTTCCCAAAGAGACAGTATTTCGCGATTTTGCTCATCCACAACAGATTCGAGTTTCAAAACTTTAGCTTGTAGAGAGCTGATGTCATCCATACATTTGTCACGAAACAACATGAAACTTGCCTGAAGGGATGAAACTTGGCTTCTCATATCCGGTGTCATGTTCAAACGAGCTGGACTGCCAACAACATCATTCATACATAGATCTTCGTCAAAAATTCGGATTGACTCGTCATTTTGACTTACACCTCTGAACATCCCTTTCAATTCAGTAGTAATCATCTGAGTATCAAAAAATTGATGAAGCTCGCATATATCACTTGCCAATCGCTCTTCCAAGGTCGCGAAATTACTACGTCCTTTTGGCTGTCTATCCCAGATATGGTTCTCCTTTCGGAAAACCACTAAACTGCCTTGCTTTTTCAATCAACTTCATTTTACACTGAGTAAGACTATCCACGTTACTATTTCTTGTCAATTCAATAATAATCTCCTTCCTCGGTCGAGTTGAATTATCTTCGTATAATATTTCCAGATCGTCCGCCATGTTGGATTTTAAATTTGCTGAAAGCTGCAAATTTCAAGGTTTATTCTGAGGACGTTCAACAGTAATTGTCAGTAAAAAATAGATCAGGAGATTCCTGGTTACCTTATAAACGAAATAAACTTAGCTTAAAGACTTTTTCTCACTGAGAAGTGCTTAAAGTTCTCACACAAATTTCAAAATGGCAGAGCTAAAATTTTACATCCGCCATCTTGAACAGGTAACCCATATCAGTTAACTTCCATAGCTGTTAACTTCCTCGATGTTACGCTTAATCTTACTAATGAGTCATACAAGCCCTACAGAAAACCAAATAACGACCCACTGTACATTCACAAAGAATCCAACCATCCACCATCGATCACCAAACAACTCCCAGCAGCAATCAACCGCAGAATCGCGTCATTATCATCCGACAAAAAAACCTTTGATTCTGTTGCTTCCACTTACGACTACGCCCTGAAGCAGAGTAATTACAACACCAAACTTCAATACTCAGCTGCTGAAACAACGTCTACAACCGAAAGTCGATCGCAAAACGAGAAACATAAACGCACAAGAAGAATTATCTGGTTCAACCCGCCGTATAGTAAAAACGTACAAACCCATGTCGCCCGAGATTTCTTGAAATTAATCGACAAACATTTTCCCAAAACATCACCCCTTCATAAGATCTTCAACCGAAACATGATCAAAGTTAGCTATAGCTGTATGAATAACGTAAAGAGCGTCATATCGAGACATAACAAACGCGTATTGAGAGAATCTAAATCCGAAGAATCTACCAACGATAACAACATTGAAAAACTTTGTAACTGCAGAAATGTAAACGAATGCCCGCTTAACAACATGTGCTTGACGAAAGATTTAGTTTATCAAGCCGAGGTAAAAACGAAAGACAACAACGATATAAAAACCTACATTGGTATGACAGCGACAACATTTAAGGAGAGATACAGAAATCACAAGAAATCATTCAATGACATTAAATACGAGAATGAAACTGAACTTTCTAAACATGTTTGGAAACTAAAACTAAATAGAAAACAATTTAATATCAAGTGGTCCATCTTATCCCGAGCAAGTTCAATCAAAGCCGGTGGAAATAGTTGCAATTTATGTTTAGAAGAGAAATTGCAAATACTCCGTAGTTATAATTCTCGGTCTAATTTAAATAAACGTAGCGAAATTTTCATGAAATGCGTGCATGCGCGCAGATTCCACGCGGGACGATTCAAACGAACACGCGTCAGCAAACATTGCGAGTAGTAAAACGCAACAACTTAACCGTATTAATATGTTGCCTGATGATTGCTTGTTGCATGAAACTTAAAGTAGCAACTTATTCAATTGAAAAATTGTATTAAAATATTAGAATTATTATATATATATATATATATATATATATATATATATATATATATATATATATATATATATATATATATATATATATATATATATATATATATATATATATATATATAATCAGTTAGGAAACAAAAAAGGAAAAAGAACAGTAAGAGTAAGACCGCTGAGAGACTCATCTATATATACTTCAATTTGAGCAGTTCATTAGAGAATATAATTGGTCATTTGTATTTAATGCTGCTGAAGTCGATGATGGGGTGCGTTTATTTCTTGAGGCAACTAACAACATGTTTGATACCTTCTTCACAGCAAAAAATCATTTTCTTATTAAGAAAAAAATTTCTTAATTTAAGAAAAAAAATCTTAAAATAAGAAAACAATTTTCTTAGTAAGAAAAAATTTTCTTGCAATAAGAAATTTTTGAATCCCAAGATATCTTTTTCTTAAAATAAGAAAAAATTTTCTTAATAAGAAAACATTTTCTTAAACTAAGAAAATACGATTTTCTTACTTTCTTAATAAGAAAACATTTTCTTAAAATAAGAAAATACGATTTTCTTACTTTAAGAATATGTTCGTAAGACAAGAAATGAAATTCTTAAAATACAAAGTTATAAAATAGTAAGACATTATTACTTAAATTTTCGAAGCAAGAAAATGTAAAATGCTAGTGTTATAGGACAACTTATATCTTAACAACGTATATCTTATTGCGTCAGGTAAATTTGTAGTTTTTATTTCGAATTGAAGAGACTATATGACCAGCAGCTCACGGTTGATCAAACACTAAATGGTCGGCAGTACATTGACTATATAGTTAAAGTTGAATCTTCAGTAATCAGTATAAGATAGATAAACCGATCCCCAATCCCAAACCCTTCTCTAACCCTAACCCCTAACCCTAACCCTAACCTTTTGAGAGTTAGACCGGCTGCCGGTAATATAGTCACTTTGTTTTATTTCGTTTCCAAAATTTGAGCTCGTTTCAGTTTTATTGAATCGTTGAAGAGAATTTTTGCCCTCCGGAATTTTTATCCAAGCAGGAATAGTTCGCCATAGTTCGCGTATTCACTAAACGCCTGGTACCTAGTTTACCTTTTAGAACGCGGAGCATCGCGGGATTAGCGTCGTTTTACATTTTTGTGAAAAATTTTATATAAATATCCATGAGCGCCTTCAAGGGCGATTTAAATGGCAAATAACGATTGGAAAAGCATCAGAAAGTCCTTAAAATGTTGTTCAGATACCACAGGTAAGAATAATTGTATATTTGACTTGTTATTTAAACAGTTTCTTTGCGAAATAATGTAGTGATTGTGACTGTTTACTTGAGCGAAGTGTGAAAATATTCCATTGAATGTTTGAATTTGCCGCGTTTGTTTTGCATATAAAACATGCAAATGTTGCTTTCAGGCAAGGGACGAAAGATTAAAATATAAATTCATATCTATTGTTGTGAATTCCGTACTAATTTACGCACTAATATTAACAATTTGACAATACTAAATTGCCTTTGACATTGGCAGTTAGCTAGGGCATGTACTAAAAGGCGAAACGTCCGAAACGAAACGACCGAAACGAAACGGCCGAAACCATCGAAACCACCGAAACGACCGAAACGAAACAACCGAAACGAAACGACTGAAACGAAACGACCGAAACGGAACGACCGAAACGAAACGGCCGGAAATGTAAATGCGGATACGGACGGACGGACGGGGGGAAGAGGCGGATGGACGGGAAAAACAGGCGGATGGACGGGAGGACAGGCAGATGGACGGGGGGGGGACGGCTTCATTTGACGCAAAACTCAATTTTAAAATCAAATCCGCGTTTTGTTGCAAGGGATATATTAGGATATATTATAAAAGACTATTATTAATCGTAATAAATTGTCCGCGAAAAGTTGATAAACTAACATGTGGAAATGTAATTGTTTTTGTTTGTGGAAACACCACGTAAATTTATTACTGCAAAGCTTTCGATCCGTAAGCCCGGATCTTCATCAGTGCTAATAATGTGTGGAAATGCTGGGTTTTTCAAACCTTCGTAACGCTTGATATAAGGATAAAACGGCGCGGATATGCTGCAAATTTCATGCTTAATTTTCTCTGTTATCCGGGCATGTAGTAATGTAATTTTATGCCAATGTAATATGCTATTTTTTCAAGCGCTTTTCAATGCAGTTATCGGTTTAAATATAACTCAAATTCCCGCTAAGATATGACATTGCCGTACGGCCTACTTTTACGCAAACGCAAATTACAACTGCAAATTTCATGCTTAATTTTCTCTGTTATCCGGGCATGTAGTAATGTACATTTCTATGCGCAGATAACAGAGAAAATTAAGATGAAATTTGCAGTTGTAATTTGCGTTTGCGTAAAAGTAGGCCGTACGGCAATTGTCATATCTCTTAACGGGAATTTTAGGTATATTTAAACCGATAACTGCATTGAAAAGCGCTTGAAAAATAGCACATTACATTGGCATAAAATCAGATTACTACATACCCAGATCACAGAGAAAATTAAGAATGAAATTTGCAGTTGTAATTTGCGTTTGCGTAAAAGTAGGCCGTACGGCAATTGTCATATCTCTTAACGGGAATTTTAGGTATATTTAAACCGATAACTGCATTGAAAAGCGCTAGAAAAATAGCACATTACATTGCATAAAATCAGATTACTACATACCCAGATGACTGAGAATATTAAGCATGAAAGTTGCAACATATCCGCGTTTTATCCTTATATCAAGCGTTACGAAGGTTCGAAAAACCCCGCATTTCCACATGTATTTTATCAACTTTTCGCGGACAATTTATTATGATTAATAATAGTCTTTTATAATATATCCTAATATATCCCTTTCAACAAAACGCGGATTTGATTTTAAAATTGAGTTTCGTGTCAAATGAAGCCGTCCCCCACCCCCCGTCCATCCGCCTGCCCCCCCGTCCATCAGCCTCTTCCCCCGTCCATCCACCTGTCCCTACCGTCCATCCGCCTCTTCCCCGTCCATCCGCCTGTCTCCCCCGTCCATCCGCCTGTCCCCTCCGTCCGTCCGTCCGTATCCGCATTTTTCAATTTTCCTGTAATTTACATTTTCGGCCGTTGTCCTCCCCGTCCATCCATCTGTCGCCCCGTCCATCCGCCTCTTCCCCCGTCCATCCGCCTCTTCCCCCGTCCATCCGCCTGTTTTCCCCGTCCATCCGCCTGTCCCCCCCGTCCGTCCGTCCGTATCCGCATTTTTCGATTTTCCTGTAATTTACATTTTCGGCCGTTTCGTTTCGGCGGTTTCGTTTCGTTCGTTTCGTTTCGGTTGTTTCGTTTCGGTTGTTTCGTTTCGGTCGTTTCGGTGGTTTCGATGGTTTCGGCCGTTTCGTTTCGGTCGTTTCGTTTCGACTGTCCCCCCCGTCCGTCCGTCCGTATCCGCATTTTTCGATTTTCCTGTAATTTACATTTTCGGCCGTTTCGTTTCGGCGGTTTCGTTTCGGTCGTTTCGTTTCGGTTGTTTCGTTTCGGTTGTTTCGTTTCGGTCGTTTCGGTGGTTTCGATGGTTTCGGCCGTTTCGTTTCGGTCGTTTCGTTTCGACGTTTCGCCTTTTAGTACATGCCTGTTTGTTTACCTTTTATATTGGCAAGCTCAATTTTTACTCCACGTAAATTTTAATGTCAAAGAAGTTATCAATACATTTATTGCGGATACTTTTATACCAAACAAGCTAAGTATTTTTTTGTATTTTGCACATGATTTCAAAGTGATTTCTTCTCCCACAAGAGCTGGAGCGCACATGCAATATCCTATCATATGCTGACAAATATTATACTTACGCGAACCCATTTCAACAGTGAGACCATGCATTTTATGGATTTCTTTTGCAAGCTTTAGCTGAACAACATGGGAACCTTTCACTTTTTTCTTTTCGGATGGATGAGTCGGATACTGACACGAACGAAGAGGACGCCATTCCTTCCCCAATGCGTTTCTATGACGAGGGCAAACCCACATCTTCTCCAGTTGACTCTCCGGAACATCAAACAATCCAGCCCTGGCTAAAATTAATTGATACTCTTCGATATTTTCCCAAGACAAGTGGCAGCTTGAAAGATGCCCCCGAATATCGTCTTTACATTTTGTCAACATAACATTCTCCACACTACTACAATGACCACCGCATTCAGATTTTATACGTGTGGAAAATGAACACATGGAAGACATCTTAAACCCGAATCCGCATGAAAACCAAATATTAATCTTCAAGTCACTAAAACTTTCAAGCGAATGCCAAAAGTTGGTGGAATATAATATAGGCGTGCGTTTATAATTATTATTATTATTAAACAAGAAAGCAATTGTTTATTGATATACCCGGCATGTTGTAAAAGACGGACTGGACTGGACTGGACTGGACCGAGAAAACGCGGACTGAGTCCGTGTTTTACAAATCGCGGACTGAATTTGTAAAACACGGACTGGACTGGACTGGACCGGGAAAACACGGACTGAGTCCGTGTTTTACAAATCGCGAACTAAGATTTGTAAAACGCGGACTGAGTCCGTGTTTTACAAATCGCGGGCTGCAATTTGTAAAAGGCGGACTCATTTCCTGAATGCACTAAGGATGAACGGTCGCATTAAAGTATTGTCTATTCTCATAACAAAGTTCAATGTTTTTACCGAGAAAGTTCAATGTTTTTGATGATCATTTATGATCATTTGGTGGTTTCAAAGCTTGGATCTGGTTCTTCAACAGATTAAAATCAGATCAAAACCTGTCAAGTGCTCTTGGCAAACATCGAAGATTCTCACGCGAATAGGCAATATTTTTTATGAACGACCGTTCATCCTGCAAGCGACGGTACACGGACTCAGTCCTGTACTGACTCAGTCGTAAAAGTTTAGGCGGGAATTGCACTCAGTCGTGAGAGTTTTGGCGGGAATTGCGGATAATAGGTCGGTCAAGGAACAGGGCCGTAGCAACCGGGGGGGCTGGGGGGGGCTGCAGCCCCCCCAATAATTTGCTAATAATCATTCTTTTTTCAAAATCATGCAAACTTTATCATTTAATCTGTGACAAACTGCAAAGAATGAAGATATTACTCATACTCCAGATCGTTCCTCGCGTAGAAATTTTAGCTGAATTTCTGTCGCGCATTTTCAAGAAAATCCCACAAAATCTGCACATTTTTGATGAACTAATGATTTATTTTGTCTTTTGCGTGTTGGGTCTTGCGAAAGAAAACTCTAAAAATGCCATTTCAGACCATCTAGAGACTCCAGATTTTCGAAATTTTCTCAAATGTTCTGCCTTCATTTCCGCGCAACTGCCATTTACGACGAAAATTCCCGCCGCGCATTTATAATACTACAGTCTGGCCCATACTTTCCTGTAAATTTCGACATACTAAAACGCTGTTTTCTGACTATCAGAATTCTGTTAAATCTTCCCCCAAAGTCCAGGAAATGGCAATTTAGAGACTCTAAATTTAAAAATTTCCTCGGCCCTTCGGCCCTCGCTTTCAGCCCCCCCCCCAATCGAAAAGAGCTTCCTACGGCCCTGAGGATAATCATATCCTGGACCTATTAGGTTGGTATAAATTATTATTATTTATTTAGTGTTTTGAATAAACAGATATTTAATAGCGTTCAATCTTACGAACACGCTCAGTCATGTGGGACTTTGTGCCACTATTGTCGAGGAAACTCATGCGTATATCAAATGTGGCCGTTTCACATGTAAATATAGTTGTATGCCTGTATAGATATAGCTCTTATAGCAGATATACCATTTAGTGTTAATCATAATTAGACGAAAATAGAGTTAATTCGTTTATTTTGTGTTCGTGGGGAAGAGGGCGTATTAAATAAAGGTGTCTACAAATTTGCGAGAAATATGAAATGAATACTGTAATCGAATTTACCGTTTCAAATATTTGTGTTATTAAGTCTATTAAACGGGGAAACTCTCGCAGGCCATCAAAACATCAAAGGTGGTGTTGTGAATGTTGTGCATATAAATTACAATAAATTTAAATTTCATAACCCAGTATTGTTGTCGTACGAGGAAGTTTCTAAAAATCGTTATTGGATTATAGTATTCATTTCGCATATTTCTCGCAAATTTATATATACACTCGTTTTCAAAATTACGCGACCTCCCTGAAAAATATACTATTTAAATACTTCAAATGTCAGTTTTATGTCACAAAAACTGCTAAAAATAGCAAACGTAAACAAACTGTCAAAAGACATTTTAAACCGTATTTAATACCAAAACTGAACAAATATGAGTTAGATAACTTAGATATACAAACTAAAGCACAATACAAACCATCACTACAGAAATATGTGTCGTGAATAACTTTTAAAGTTTGAAAAATAACAATTTATCCTGGAATTTAGCTGTCAGTATAAAACACGCGCGCTAGACTATAACGGTGATGTTATGATTTTGTTTGTGCTTAAATTTTGCAATAATTCTCACTAAAATATCTTGAAAATCATTGTAAGCATGTTTATATAAAGCATACAAAGCATATACATCGACAAGGAACCGCAAAACTCGAAGTTTAAACTTCGTGACCGAATGACATAAAACTGACATGTCAACTCTAGCATTTTCGTCCTTGGTCGCGTAATTTTGAAAACGGGTGTAATATATCTTGCTTTACTTTTGTATTAGTGTTGAGCACTTTATTATCTACTACAACAAAACAAATTATATATATATATATATATATATATATATATATATATATATATATATATATATATATATATATATATATATATATATATATATATATATATATATATATATATATATATATATGCTCAGAAACATTGCTTCGAACGATTGAGCCCATATGAGGTACTTCCTCGGGTAGAAGAATTTGCATTACAGATTACGTCATCAGTTAGTTATAGTGATTAGTGTTGGGGTTAGGGTCAGTGGCGTGCTGGCAGGGGGGGCCGGGGGGCCACGGCCCCCCCAGCTGGCAATTCTTGGGGAGCGCAAAAATGAAAAGGGGGCGCCGATCCCGCGTTTTGAAAGTGGGTGGGAAGAAACGCATTCGAAAAAATATAGTTACTAATTCCGCCAAGGAAAGATACTAAAGATGTGTTTATAGACTTATAAACAGACTAAGCGCATAGGCGGCAAAGTGAGTATATTAAATTGCAGACTATTTTGTCTAACCGTATTTGCTACCTCACGACTCACACGAAATCACTCGTTCATATAGAAACACGATCAGTGATCACACGCAATGTCTCATTACCAGAATATTGATCAGGCTTCGAAGCGATCACGGGAATTATGCCCTTTTTTGCTGGTATTATGCCCTTATATTATGAAGGTATTATGCTTCACGAATCACGAGAGCGGCGCAAATTAGATAGTTATGATAATGTAAGTTGTGTACGCAATTTAGTTGTTTGTGCAAGAAACATCATGACTCATGAGTAATGTAAGTGATAAGATAATGCTGAAAAGCACCCTTTTGGCAGCCAAGCAAGGTAACCTTAAAGTGCATATACGTGGGGTCCGTGTGTTATTGTATAAAAGAGCTGTATGTTGTAAATGTATTCAGATCACCAGATCAGTAGAGAATAGAATTGGGATTAGATTAATCGCTGGAACTGAGTTAGCATTGCCCAATTTAAGAACTACTACTATATATAATTCTAACCAAATTGCAAATTTCAACACGTTATAATGCCGTTTCCTGACCATCAGATTTCTGTCAAACCTTCCCCCCAAAGTCCAGGAAATGGCATTTCAGAGACCCTAAATTCAAAAGACCGATCAACAGTCGGGTAATTTTGGTTTGTAATAAAAATAAATGGGACAAATTCTGTCAATTTAGTGGAAAATTCAGTCAATCTTGTGTCAATTGTGTGTTTTATGGAAAATTTGTATGATGTTCAGAAAAATTTTGGTATGTCCGGAAAAATTTTCTGACCCCTAAAATGATACACTGACCGAAATTTTTTTTGGCGACGGGGGGGGGGTCGCCGAAATAATTTTTCCGGAAAAAATTTTTTAGGTAGTCGGGCACAATCCCGAAAAGTCGGGCAAATTTCTTTCCGCCCCCTAATTTTTTCCTTCCGGTACGCCCATGAGGAATAATCATATCCTGGACCAAAGGTTGGTATAAATTACTAGTATTTATTTATTGTTTTGAATAAACTGATGAACACGCTCAATCGTGTGGGACTTTGTGCCACTATTGTCGAGGAAACTCATGCGTATATATCAAATGTGGCCGTTTCATG